GTTGTTATGCAATTTAATTTTCATCTCTTACATGGTAAATTTAAGCTTTGATAGATAGAATAAGCATATGGTTAGAGAGACCAAAAATTACCTCATTGAGCAAGAAATATGGAGTCGTATCAACTTACTTTTGCGTAAGCACTAGTTTCAAACCTCTAACCATCTTTACATCTTGTTTATAATTGGTATAACATTATTTTCTTGGCAATATAGCATAGTCTTTATGCCAAGACTCCTGATTTTCCATATTTGTACACTTTGTTTATACAAAAGCATGTTGTTGTGGGTAAGAGTATACTCCTTATCCCCCTTGTGCATCAGGACCATTGGCATGTTGCTGAAGTCAGGTTGAATAAGGACGTTGTTAAGCATTATGGCTCGGCTGGCCATAGTGCGTACATTAAACTAGTGAATAAATAAATTAATTTCATGGATCATATGAAGTCTGGATTTGATCCTCAGAATGTTTTGAGAAAGTGTAGATATGAAGTCGTCTCTTGCGAGCAACAGTCTGGAATGTTAGTATTTCATAAATTAATCTTTTTCATTTTATCCAATATCATATATCTAACTAGCTTGCTACTTTATATCATGCAGTTTTTATTGTGGAATTTTCGTTCCCTTATATATGAATGCTATAATCCGTGGTGTTGACACACTTCAAATAATTACTCCCGATGATGAATTTGTTGTCATACGTGTCAGGCTTGCAGCTGAACTTCTAATAGAATGATGGGAACAGAATCAAGCAGAGACATTAGATAAGGATGAGAGAAAGTTGTTCTAAAAATTGATTAATTAAACCAAAACTTGTGTGCATGTCTATATTGTATATATTAATTTAGTTGTGTAAACAGTTGATGTGGATAACAAATAATGCAGCAAGCTTGACCTTTATTGTTCTTATTGTATTTCTGGTATTTTTACCATCATATATCTACGTTTTGTTTTGATACGCTATATATTTAACAGGTTCAAATGAAAATCTAGATGTTCACCTGAATGTCAACAGAAAAAACCAATACTTAACATGTACATTTGACAATTTACCATATTCAGCTGAAAGTTATCCTGTTATGAAGAAAGCTGATATGTAACAGTGAAAATTAACATATTCTTACTGAAAGTTAACATGTTCAGCTAATAGTTAGCGTGCAGAGCTGAAAGATAACATGTACATGTGAAAGTTAACTTACTTCGCTGAATGTTAACATGTTCATTTGTAAGTTAGCGTATACCACTGAAAGTTAACATTTTCAGCTGGCAGTTAACATAAATAACTAGCATGTTCATAAAAACATTATCATATTCAGCTGGAAGTTAACATGTTCAGCTGAAAGTTATCATGTACAACTTAGAGATATTTTAGAACTGAGATAATTAACAAAAAACACAAACAGAATACCTCAGCTAAACAAGTACATTATACAAAACTTCTTAAATTTTTGCAGCTGATATTACTTGAAAACACAGTAAATACTTAGTCTTACAACTTCAAAGATTAGAAGAGTCTTCAACAATATTATTTTCATGGCAGCATGTTATCATTTTGTTTCCATTTCTTGCATTTTCGCCATGATAAATTTAAACTTTGTCTTGTTACAACATATATTATGCTGAATGTTAACATAAATAGTTGAAAGTTAACATCTTCAGCTAAGAGTTAACGTGTTCAAGTAAAAGTTAACATGTTCAGGTTAAAGTCAACATATTCGTCTGAATGTTAACATATATGTCTGCAAGTTAACATGTACAGCTTAGAGTTAACATTTTTAGCTTAAAGCTAATATATTCAGCTGAAAGTTAACATATTCACTTGAAAGTTAACTAAAGAGTCTGAAAGTCAACGTGTACAGTAATGTTCATTTGAAAGTTAACATAGTCACATAAAAGTTAACATGTTTAGCTGGAAGTTATTCAGCTAAAAGTTATTATAGTAGCAAGATATTTAACAGGAAACACAAACAGTATACCTCAACTTAACAAGTATATTACACAAGACTTCTCACATTCTTACAGCTGATATTGCTTGAGTACACAATATGATTAGTCTTACAACTTTACAAATTACAAAAGTCTTCTATAATATTATTTTTATTTCTGGCATTTTCGCCATCTTAAAATTAAGCTTTGTCATTGTACAAAATATATTCGGCTGAAAGTTAACATATATAGCTGAAAGGTAACATGTTCAGTTGAGATTTAGGTGAAAGTTAACATGTTCAGGTTAAAGTCAACATGTTCGACTGAAAGTTAACATATACAGCAGAAAGTTAACACGTTCAGCTGAGAGTTAACATGTTCAAGTGAAAGTTAACATATTCAGATTAAAGTCAACATGTTTGGCTGAAAGTTAACATGCATAGCTAAAAGTTAACATGTTCAGCTGAGAGTTAACTTTTTCAAGTGAAAGTTAACATGTTCAAGTTAAAGTCAACATATTTTCTGAAAGTTAACATATACATCTAAAAGCTAACATGTACAACTTGTAGTTAACCTTTTCAGTTAAAAGTTAATATGTTCAGCTAAAAGTTAACATCTTCACTTGAAGGCTAACTAAAAGATCTTGAAAGCTAACCTTTTCATATGCTGGGAAACTTGAGATGATTAAATCAGTCATCCTAGGCATTCAGACTTTTTGGATGAGTAACTATATTCTGCCTATTAGGGTCTTGGAAAAAATAGATAACCTTTGCTCTGGTTTTCTTTGGAGTCAAAAAATTCATCTGACTTCCTGGGGTATAGTCTGCCAGGGAAAGGAGCACGGTGGGTTAGGAATCTTTGCAGCAAGGGAATGGAACTTTGCTGCAGCTGCAAAGCTTTTATGGATGGTGCACCTCAAGAAGGACCTGTTATGGATCAAATGGATACATAAAAATTACTTGAAAAATCAAAATATCTGGATTATTCAACCAATGGTGAATGACTCATGGATGTGGAAAAGGCTTCTTAAAGTGAGGGATATATTGGTTAGTAAGTTTGGAAGTGTTGAAGGTATGAAGAATACTATAAATGGGTGCTGTTATAATGGCAAGGTTCTCCTCTCTACCATGTACATATCATTAATTCAGCCAGCTCCACGGGTAATTTGGCATAATACAGTTTGGGATGGTTTTCTGTATCCAAAGCACTCTTTCACCCTATGGTTAACTTGTCATTCAAAGCTTCTCACTAAGGATAGGCTTTGCCGAATGGGGATATTAAACACAAATCTGAGCAATTGTATGTTATGTCAGTGGCAACAAATGGAAACAAAAAATCACATTTTCTTTGAGTGTCAATTTTCGGCTGAAGTATGGAATATGATAATGGATTGGCTAAAGTTCAAATAAAAATCCTGTAACTGGAATCAGCTCCTGAACTAGTATTCTTGCAACCTAAGAGGCAGAGGTCCCATGAAGAAATTAAAGAGGATGGCTTTGTCGATGGCAGTTTCCACAATCTGGCAGGAGAGAAATCTTCAAATATTTCAAGGAAAGAAGAGGGAGGCTAAACAGATTGTTCATGCCATCAAATGTTTAGTGTATACAAAAGTTCTGAATGACAGCTCATATGTTCATATAAGAGAGCTGCTTGAGAATTTGTAAATTTTTGTTTTACTTGATTACCAGACATTGTGGTATCTTGGTTGTACTACACGATGATCCATTTGGAAATGAATAAATTTAGTTCATTTACCAACAAAAAAAGATCTGAAAGTCGACGTGTATAGTTGAAAGCCAACATGTTCTTTTGAAAGTTAACATAGTCAAATGAAAATTCAGCTGAAAGTTATTCAGCTAAAAGTTTTTATAGTACCAAAATATTTAACAAGAAATACAAATAGTATACCTAAGCTAAACAATTACATTACACAAAGCTTCTTATATTCTTACAACTGATATTTCTTGAATACACAATATGATTAGTCATACAACTTCATAGATTACAAAAGTCTTCCACAATATTATTTTCGTAGTAGCATATTATCATTTCGTTTTCACTTCTGGTGTTTACGCTATCATAAATTTATGCTCTGTTATTATACAACTGAAAGTTAACATATACAGCTGAAAGTTAACATGTTCATCTGAGAGTTAACGTGTACAAGTGAAAGTTAACATATTCATGTTAAAGTAAACATGTTCAGTTAAAAGTTACTATAGACAGCTAAAAGTTAACATGTTTAGCTGAGAGTTAACGTGTTCAAGATAAAGGTAACATTTTCAGGTTAAAGTCAACATATTCGTCTGAAAGTTAACATATACATCTAAAAGTTAACATGTACATCTTATAGTTAATATCTTCAATTAAAAGTTAATATGTTCAGCTAAAAGTTAACATCTTCACTTGAAAATTAACTAAATAATATAAAAGTCAAAGTGTACAGTTGAAAGCTAACATTTTCTTTTAAAAGTTAACATAGTCAAATGAAAATTCAAATGAAAGTTATCCAGCTGAAAGTTTTTATAGTACCAAGATATTTAACAAAAAATACAAATAGTATACCTCAGCTAAACAAGTATATTACATAAAACATCTTACATTCTTATAGCTGATATTGCTTGAATACACAATATAATTAGTCTTACAGCTTCACAGATTATAAAAGTCTTCTATAATATACTGTAAAATTCTGGACAACCTATATTTCTCTAACAAAAGTATTGTTGTAAGAAGTAGTCCACACTAATCACCAATTAGCTCGTTACAAGTTGCTCGATTGTGACCCTCAACTTTGCGTCGAGAATATTTCACTAGATGTTTATAAATGGTTCTGTTGTTTATACGTCTAATTATATTTCTTCCCTTCCTCTTAGTGGTAATTGGTGACAATATCTGGATTTCATTTCTTAGCACACTCCGCTTCTCATAATCTGGTATGGGATAAAGGATTTCATCGTAGCTCTTCTTAAATGCTTCTACAAACATAAACCAATCATAATATTGATATACATCTTTTTTCATATAAATAATGATTGTACAAGCATGCACACAAGGAATACGTGTTACGTCCAAACTCAGCAAGTACATATTATCTTCTCCAAATCAACGTGAGTAGTTTTATGTGATTGCACTTCGAATATATCATCTCTAGATTGCTTAATCTCTAAAGTATATCATGTTTCCATATTTTCCCTAACAATCTACTCAGCTTTGGACAAAGATAACCACTCCACTTATCAGCCATTATGTGTCTGTTGTTCATGCAAACCATATTTTATTTTTGAATATGCTCCACCATTTGTAGTACACGTAACAATCAAGCTTCATGTATCTAGCTGTTAAAGGATTCTGCGACATTAGAGGTCACATGACCATATCTGCAAACATCAAAATAATAAAAAGTATAATGCATACAATATATAATAAAATTAACATGTAGCTACAAAACGTAACCGTTAAGAGGAACATTTAACGTATAAACCCAAAACCTAACACATGATAATGAAAGTTAACATCTACAATCTATAGTTAACATGTACAAAGGAAACTTAACATATATGCGAGAGAGTTAACATCTACTGAAAAATGTCATAATGATTGAATGCAGTACCTAATGCGATGGAAGAATGAATTTGCCCACTGCTCTGACGAGTAATTAATTGCAAACTCATATGCAGCTGGAGACATATCATAAATTTTCTTCATGTAGTCATTCTATTCTGCTATAGTGTATTTATAGCAAGCAGATTGGAGCAAATTCCCCAAAACTTGTGTGTTCTTTGCCTTCATTTCCAAGTCCTTTAGCTTTGATCTAAAATTTTTAACTAGGTGTAGAACACATCTCAAGTGAATTGTTTCAGGAAAAAATTCTCTCATGGTTTCTCGAATCCCCTTGTCGGTATTAGAAATAATTACCAATTGGTGGGGAGGATTGTATGGGTCTGACCTTTCATAAAATATGGACCACAGACTTTGAAAAAACCATCTCTAATTAACTACATTTTCCTAATCGCATATGCAATACGCAAGTGGAAATATCCCTTGGTCACTGTCGTATGCTATGACGTTGAGGAGCATGCCTTTGTATCTATCTTTCAAAAACACCGCATCCAAAAATAATTGAAGTCTACATCTATTTAAAAAATCAATGATGCAAGCAGCATAACATATGAACAATCTTCTGAACCTTCCTTCCTTCTATTCAATGCAAATGTAGCTTCCTGGATTCGTTTCCTTTACTATGTGCTCATATCTGTACATTAATGTCATCACATTTCATGTAAATACAATACATTGGAGTGTTACCGTCTAACAGTGAAAGTTAACATCTAACAGTTAAAGCTATTATTAACTGGGACAGTTAACATCTTAACATGAAAGCTAACAGTTATTCATGAAACATAACATCCCACGGTGATAGTTAATATAAATCAATGAAACTTAACATGAAACATCTAATATATTGCACGATAAATCAACAACTAACATTGTACTATAAGCAGCTACCAATAAAATTTATATATTTAATAAAAAAATTATAAAATTTACCATCTTAATTGATCATAAGACTCATAACTATCACCGTACATATCCTCTTGTGTTCTTTCTTTGCCCCACCATATCTTACTATATTCAACTCTCAATCCATATCGAGTGAGAAACTCCTTTTGCACATCAATTGGGTGGATTTCAGGCTGAACCTTTAATACAGATCGCAATCGGGCTGCTATGAATTTGCGAGATGCCCGTGATTGCCCTAACAAGTTAGTAAGTTGTCTGCGACTGTGTTCATTCATACTTTTGATTTCAATTCTTTTTTATTTTTAACAGGAGAGGCAAACATCATCCAATGGTATCCATATGTCTCCTTATATCGATAATAAACTCGGATACGTTTAGGTTCATTCTTTGCAAATTCATAATCAAATTTTTTCACCATAGAATAGTTTTGCAAAGCTAGTCTTAATTCATTTACACTTTCAAATTGTTGCCCCTTTTTAGTTAATGCTCTGTGCCACTAATGAGGAATGATGGAAGTGTTGTTGAGAATATCATCAGCTCTCATTACATTCTCACCATACAGGCAATCATTTTAGATTCTCTCTGAATTAGAAACATTTCCTGGAGGAGGATGACTACATTTTGCATTTAAAGAGGTATCGCTGCTGCATAAATTAATGAACCAGTGAGATATCATATTCAACTATAATATAATATTATCTTCTGATATTTTAAATTAACAACTTCTTATGTAAACTAACAGGTAACTGTGAGTGTTAACTAACTAGGAGTAATACTAACATCTTTCGATAAAACTCAACATAGATAAATGAAATTTAACAGAATATACGCATAGTTAAAACGCTAGGAGGAAAGTTAACAACTTTATGAAAAAACTAACATGTTCATATAAAAGTTAACATATTCGTGTGAAAGTTAACATATATCGTTGAAACTTAACATGTTACAAGAAGAGTTAACATCTAACCACTAAAGATAACAATTATGTTTCGTCTATGTATTGGAACCTGAAATCACAAAGCTTACATCACACAAAGCACAATTTTAAAAAGAGTTTATTGATTACTTACATTTCAATAAGAACTTTCTAATTTTTTTCAGAAATAGAACTGTAAAACCCCAAAAATTTATGTTAATATAATTAATATGAGATAAATTATAATTTATAGATATTTATTTTGATAAATATAGTTAAATGGAGTATGAGTATGATACCATGCGTTTTGAATATGAACGAGTTCATACATGAGAAAGAAAAGAGTCGAAACATGCACAATGGCCAAATATGTATAACTAGAAAATTCCAGTCCGGTCAACCGTCACGATCGATCGCGAAACCTACAGAAAGTCAAATTCCTGTTTTGAGTTGGTTTTGGGTTTCTAAAGCCCATATCCGTTTTCTGGTATATATATATCATATGTTCACGATATTTTCAGTTTTCTAAGAACCCTAACAGCCACCAAAATCCCTTTAAACCCTAATTTTGATTCTTGGAGAAGATTGGAGGTTTTCAAGTGGATTTTCGTGTGATTTTTAGCGTTTGGATTATAGATCTTCCTTGGCTTGGCTTCTTAAACATTTTTCTACAAATCACAGGCGAGTTCATCTCTGCTAACCCCTCTCCTAGTTTTTAAAACATTTTTAAAGAGTTTTTAACATATTTTGTAGAGCCAAATTGACTAGTTTATGAATAAAAGTCAATTCTTTTGTATTATATGTATAAAGACTAGGTCTTTCCATGTTAAAAAGATTGAGAACGAATTTACAGAAGTATGTAAGATCTGAAAATGATTTAAAACATGGTTTAATCTGAAGAAAGATGATTTGTTCTTCGTTTCTAGTTTTTATGCATGACTTAGGGTTTTGAAGATAAATTTTATGCAAATAATCATGCTATATATGTTGAGTTTGTTTCCAGAAGTTTTCATCTACTGTAGACATGCTCTCATACAAGTTTCATGTTGTTTTAATCATGTTTGAATTACCTAAACACGGTGTGAACATGACACAACAACCAGATTGAGAATCTGGAATATCAGCCCACGGTTGACCACGCCATAGAGGTGGTCAACCACGTGCAGGACAGAGGCCTGAGTAGGCTCTGGAACCCATCGCGGTCGACCGCCACACAGTCAGTGGTCATGTGCATGTTTTGTTCGACTGTTGAGTTTTCGAGCTAGTCTCTTGACCTTGTACTGTTATGATTCAATCTTTATGAGATGTATAACACTTGAGATGTTAGTGAACACCAGTTATGGATACGCACACCGAGATATGTGCACGTATGTTTAGAATATGTGGTGTCAACATATTTTTGTCCTAATTTAAGTTGATAAATATGAAGATCATAGCATATTTCATTGTATTCCAAAATAGAAAGATAAAACCTATTTTCACAGGGCGATTGAGTAAGAATATTACAAAAGTATCGTCATTCCATTGTATTTTGGAATATGGAGATAAGACCTATTTTCGTAGGGTGATTGAGTAAGAGTATTACAAAAGTATCGTTATTTCATTGTATTCCGAGATAAGGAGATAAAACATATTGCCGCAGAGCGATTGAGTAATAATATTACAAAAATATCGCTATTAGATAAGGAGATGCACATATGTAAGTATTATTTGTCGTATTTTGCTTTCATATTGGTTTCCCGCGAGTAGGGTATTTCCTTTAAGATCGTGGCTTACATGACATGGCTTATAATTGATTTTTTTGTTCTGGATGAGATCCCTCTTATGTTAGAGCTATCTACCCGAGTGTAATTGAGATGAGATATTTATTCTACATGTTTGAGGTTTGGAGTATTTTCTTTTGGTTTATTACTTTCATTCATAGGGTTTGGAGTTAGTATTTAGGGAGTCACAATTTAAGATATGGTATATACATGAGGGTTTTCTTATTTGGATTATTTCGCTCGACGTACTAACTCTCGTGTTGTGATTTCCTAAATATTAACTTCTAGTAAGAATTTTATGAATGATTTCATATGTATATGTACTAAATCTATTTTCTATATACTCCTACTCCTTCCCCTGAGAGAGGTGGAGATGATCTCGCTGTAGCACTTAACGCTCGTTGCCCCCCCCCCCCCTTTCCCGTCCCCCCCCCCCCTTTCAGGCAGCGAGTCAGGCGTACAGAGAGTCGCAGGTTGATGGGATTTCCTCATAGATTTCCATCTAGTTGTTTACTATTTAGTAGTTATTTAAGAACTCCACAATTAGTTGTTTATGTTCAGACTCTAGACTTGTATTTTATTTTGTAGAGGCTGAGAGCCATAGTGATATTTTATTTGACTCATTGTACTTGAGGTTTATTTCAGACTCAGAGGTATTTCTACTCTATTTTAGTTGGGCTCACTGATGATTATTCTCATGCTTCCTCTGTGTATATCTGGCTTTACTCTATTTCTTTTATTTTCATGTCTGTACCTTCACCTATTTGTTGTTTCTACTAGAGAGATAGTAATTGTGATGGTGAAACATATCATAGCACGATGTTTGGTACTTGGCAGGTTTAACATTCTGGGTTTCGTCTTGGACTGCAGCCTCGCGTGAAACTTGGGGCATCACAAGAACCCTCTATATTAACAACAGCTTGCATGTGAATCTCCGTACAACCGGTATTTCGATTGTGCTCCAATATGCACTTCAAATCATCTTCATTATCAACTAAAAAACTTAGGTTGTGGGTGCCTCTTAGATTTATATATCAATGTCAAAGCATTTTGAGGTACTTTCAGTCTTTCAGACACATCAAATTTCAGTTCAAAAAGCTTGTTGTAGATCTTTACATCAAGAATATAACCTTATCACCTAACGACACTATGCAAATCAAGTCTTTGGCGGTCATTG